AAGGTCTTTTCCAACCTAAACGATTCTATGATTCTGTAATACCCTATGCCATCAACATGTTAGTTATGAACTTAGAGTTTTAAATACATCTTTTAAAATGGAAAAGATCCTTTTTGATCTACTTTGGGGTTCTTCACATTGATTAAAAATTTTTACTAAATTATGTATATGGGCATTTGGTTCATGTTGAACAGGGAATATAGAGAGCACTGTGTCATGGTTTAACCCCAGCTGGCAACTAAGCACCACACAGCCACTCGCTCACTCCCCTCTGGTGGGATGCGGGGAGAACCACAAAAGTGAGAAAACTCATGGGTTGAGGTAAAGACAGTTTAATAAGTAAAGCAAAAGCTGCGTGTGCAAGCAAAGCAAAACAAGGAATTCATTCAGCAGGCAGGTGTTCAGCCATCTCCAGGAAAGCAGAACTCTATCACGCATAACAGTTACTTGGGAAGACAAATGCCATCAGTCCAAACGTCTCCCCCTTCTTTCTTCCCCCAGCTTTATATGCTGAGCATGATGTCATATGGTGTGGAATATCCCTTTGGTGAGTTGGGGTCAGCTGTCCTGGCTGTGTCCCCTCCCAGCTTCTTGTGCATCCCCAGCCTACTCGCTGGTGGGTTGGGGTGGTGTGAGGAGCAGAAAAGGCCTTGACTCTGTGTAAGCACTGCTCAGCAGTAACTAAAACATCTCTGTATTATCAATGCTCTTTCCAGCACAAATCCAAACCAGCCCCATACTAGCTACTATGAAGAAAATTAACTCTATCCCAGCCAAAACCAGCACACACTGATAAGACTATGAAGAAAATGACTTGCTAGCACATTTGAATTCCAGTAATTATTCTCTGAACAAATCGTATATGCATATACATACATGCATGCAGACACGCATACACTACACATTTCTGAAGATATTTTGGCAACCTGAATGCTTTCCTGTATATGTTATTGTCATCATACATATTTGTTATTCAGATGTTTCTTTCTGTATTTGTAATCATGATTACATCATCATTATGTGTTCATTTGTTTTAGCATACTCTTATGCCCTTTGGCACAATCTGTAAAAAAGAAGCATTTGACCAACACCGTATACTAATATCCACTGTTTTTCACTATGTTTATTTTTATTTTAAACAGAGAACTACAGTTTGCTTCCAATGCATGATGCAATCTGTTTCACACTGTTCACAGTTTTGACATTGAAGCTTTTTTCAGTTAGGATGTTTAGTTGAAACTTTTGTTGCAATATGAAGAGTATAATGAGTTACTGTTTAGGAAATGTGCTAAATTTTTCATATGCAGCAATAAATACTTGTCTGAAATGGGTATCAGGCTGCAAACATTTTAATCAGTGAGGCAGAAATTTAGGTTGATCATTGGTTAATCTTTTTTGAGGGTTGGGATTGTTTGGGGAAGAAAGCTGCTGTGTTGAACTTCAAGAAAAAAAAATCATACGTTTGAAGTATTTAAGAATTGGCTTAAAATTACATAGTTATGAAGCGCTTTGCTGAACTAGGCTCTCAGTGTAGCTGGCACATGGCTAACAGAACAGGTAGAATAATTACGCCAGTCTCTGACCTCATTTACCTCATTGCAGTGCATCTGTTAACCAAGCAGTGAAAGCAGCAGCTGTTCATTTATTCTAGCAGTGCCCTTTACCAGGCTTGTAGCAGTGATCCCAGAAAGCACATCTGTTGTCTTAGGAATCACGTAGTCCCACGGGGGACAGAAAATCATGATAATGACCAGCCAATGCCCAAGCGTCTGGGACATGAGTAGTATTGGAATGACTGGTAGATGGTGAGGGGAAAGAGGAGGTTGTTCGTAGATTACGTGACCACAGGAAATATTTTTATTTGCATTCTTGTCAGCAACTATCACCCAAAGAGACACCCTCTGCTCAACCTGATCCCTCCTCAGTCTCAAATCTATTCTAATGTTTTCCCTACATACATGTAATGTGCTGCCTACTTACATGTGTACATGTCAAGTAATATTACTGAAGTTGCAAATAAGATTATGTGTTTGGGTAGTATATGTTTTTTCCTTATCTGTAGGAAGCAGATATTCTCTATTATTGTTGGTCTGTCTGTTATTGTTACTGAAGATTGTGTTACCTTAATCTTAGTTTCCCAGAGCTTAATATTACTTCATGCTGGATGGACACACACAAATGTTAATTAACTTTGTCTCTTAGATGAGCATTTCCTATATATCCTATGTATTCCTAAATAAGTATGAATAATGTTTATTAGCTTCATTATAATTATTATTCATAATATAAACCAAGCTGCAGTATAAGCAGATGGAAATGCCGGATAGGGTAAAAAATTAGATACACTCACTTTAAAATGTCAGTACCCAAGACACGTGGCCAATGACGGGCAGAAGTTGAATATTTTCAGCTCCAGTAGAAAAAAAATCCTTTGGTATCAGGAGTTCGTTTCCATTGTTTGTTTCTAGCATTCATCTCCACCCTGGTTTTTTTGTACAGTTTACTCCTTGTGAACAGGGCGTTTTCCTTTTTTATTCCTGGCCTGCTTTTTTCCAGTGTCCATAATTTACCATCTTTTGCATATGACATCCTAATACTTCCCAACAGCAGCAGATCAGCCATCACAAACAGGCACTTAGTGACTGTTTAGTACAAAGAAGCTAAGAAAGAGTAATTTATGAGAGGAGTGTGCGTTACACAGTCCCATGCATACACAAATGTGAATACACAAATACATTCAGTGCCCTTCAGACAAAAACAAAAGTTGAGGTATTTTGCGTTCATCATTCCTGAGCACCTACAGTAGAACTGTTCACATAGTTTTGGTAATCTGATCTTGGGCTGCATTTTCGAAAGTGAGAATTAAGTAATTATTAAGACAGTTATATGTAGAAAAAGGTTTTCTTACTGACTTTTCCTTTTGCGAGGGTTTTTTCATAACCAAATCATAATGCATACTCCTCATTATTTTTTCTTTTGGAAAGCAATTAAATAAAAACCTGTACTACTGAAGTATCCTTGTTCTGTTCTTATCTATCCCGTTACATATTGTTATCCTAATAGTGTTCCTAGCTTATTTGAGGCCCAATCCTTCTCCTATAAAAGCTAACAGGAAAAACTCCCAAATGTAAAACCCAGCATTGTACTTCATTTTTTTAGTGTCAATTTGTGATGATACTGTAATTTAATCTCTTCTGCATCTGTCAAATACTTCATTTAATTTTTGATTATATGAAATATTGAATGCTAATTAAGTAATTCACTTGCTGATTAAGACAGTATCAGCATGAGTCAGTCACCAGAGATTAATACGAAATTTCAGGCTTTGTCTGCAATTTCTTTAAAAGTTTCAGATAAAAAGGAATTTTTTGCTGTATCAAAAAGTCAGTAGCAGTGTGGGTCTGTGTACAGTAGTACAGGTTTGTGATTGATGTAGGTAGACAGCTTTGCAAGATTGTTTCCATGTTTTGTGATATTTTGGAATTTAAGATGTTTGTGATCATGAATTTCTCCTTAATCTATATTTTGATGATTTTATTTCAAATTGTGAAATATGAAGGGAATTTCTAATGTAGCAACTGTCTTTCATCGGCAGCATATTTTTTGTGTATTTTATATAAGTGCTTACAAAGCTTAGATGTTACAGCTGATTTTACAAATACTCTGCTTACTGAAGTCTAATGAGGAGATCTGGTTTTGGTTAATATTAATGCATTAATTTAGTAATAATCCCTTAAACAATTTTAAAACTTTGTTTCAGAAAATACTGATATCCTGGCAGGGCAGTAACGTATACGTATGTAGTAATTCATCTTCAAAAAGAGCACAGCAGAAAAGAGACCTTGAAAGGCTAGTTTGACCCCAAAGCTTTGTTCTTGAGTTTTACTTAGGCTTACTGCTGCAATTTCATACAACAACCTGTGGAAATCGATGGCTAATTTTGTTTGGCTTACATAGGAACAGATATTTTATTTTGTATTTACTTTCCATTGAGTCTTTTAAACATGTTTTGTACTAGCAGATTTTAGCATGAGTCAGCCAACAAATGTTGTAGTATGAGTCAGCCAATATGAAATGCTAAAGGGAAGGTTTTAATAAAGATATTAATGTTTTGTTCAGGAAGTATATTGAGTTGAAAGATGTTAATTTACATTTAGAAATGAAAAATGTCCTGTCTTTTGTTTATGGTTAAGCTGTTTTTTTGATCTTTTATTTGATTTTAATACCTAATGTTCTTAATTTCTTAAAGCCAAAGCCAACTGAAACAGTCACAACTGATGAGTCTGGGGTAAGATTAGTAAACTGACCCCAGTGGTTTTACCTCTACTTGAGTTTATTCTTTTTACCATGTCTATTTTCCACCAATTTTTTCTGTATTTTTCATAACTGTCTTACGACAAAGGTGTTATGCAGTGGTTTGCATTCATTGTCAATGTACTATTGAAGTCTATTACAAACCAACCCAATATGATCCTTATTAACAAACCAGAAAACTTGGAAATGCATGTGATGTGTGAAGCATTTCTACAGGTCTTGTGTTTTTAGCATGTAATTTTTCCTTTCATATCATGCTTATCAAGGTGAAAAGGCCCTCAAGATACATTTTCAAATCTTACCTCTTCCACCTTTGCATTTGATGTTGTTTTTCTGGAAGTGTTGCATGTTTGAGTTTGTATTTGGTTTGACTTCTCCATGATGCTCTTCAGAACTCTGAAGACAGCGCTAGAATCTCCATCACTTTTTTCCGTCTGTTCCGGGTGATGAGGTTGGTGAAGCTGCTTAGCAGAGGAGAAGGAATCAGAACTTTACTGTGGACGTTTATTAAGTCATTTCAGGTTAGCAAAATTTATTTAAATTTGCTTTATAATTACAACCATTTATACACCAAATTTTATGAAGCAATACCCTGTAGAGTGCAAAACACATTTCTTTTGAAATTCACACTATCAATAATGACATATTTAAATATATTTGCATAATAATGACAAAATTAACTTCAGCAGTTATTTCAGTGAGTCCAAGGGTCATTCTTTGTCGTTTCTTATTAGCTGTTACCGTGAGATTTCTACGGTACTTCATAAATATATTTTGTATGTCTAAAAGGGATAGGATAGGTTTGATACACACAGGTCTCATACTTCCACACATGTTATTAGATGACTACAAAAGAGGAATTTAGTCTATTTTTTTATATAAAACTGATTTCTTAAGTGTAACAAATAGATATTTCAATCCTGGCTCCTGAAAAATCTGATGAATGTGTGGAACTCTATAACTGTATAGAAGGAAGTATCTTAGTGTTGTCAGAATCAGTAATGAAAATAAAATTAGAAACTGCTAAAGATCATTCTTCCCCCTGGATTGCTGGCAGAAGTAATTTAAAATATAATGAAGCTTGTGTTCATTGTATGTGGCAGAATATTAAGACTGACAGGTAATAACATTTTAAGCACTTGCATAGGAAGAAAGAACTTGGAAAAGCCTGTGTTGTACAGAGAAATTATTTTTGTAAAAGGAAATTGAAATTATGGTGTGAAATTATTAAAAGACAATGCACCTGTTCTGTTTCTAGGCTTTGCCTTACGTTGCCCTTCTGATAGCCATGCTGTTCTTCATCTATGCTGTCATTGGAATGCAGGTAATTATAGAATTATTTTTAGCATTAAACAGAAGTACAGTGTTGGCTACTCTGACACTTGTTTATCAAGGTGCTTATTGAAACATTCTTTTGATAGTGGTGCTATATATAAAGCCGAGCTTTCAGACTAATGTAAAAATCTTTTTTTGGCTATGATTTTGGTAGTCAGAAAATCCAAAAAGATGCAAGAGAAGAGCTTGGTGTAAGCTTATGGTATCTTGGTTTGCTGAAAGGAGCCACTCCTCTTCCATGTACTGTGAAGTTTATTCCTATGCACGAATGTATGAAAGAATGCATGGCTTTTTTTCACTCTAGACTTGTTTTCAGAATCAGGCATTGAAACTCCAGCTTTTTTTTTTTTTGTTTTGGTTTTTTTTGCTTTTTTCCTTTCCCATATCAAAAGAATGGAATTAGGGAAAGAATCTAGCTTAAGATTTAGGCACAGCTGAGCCTGTGGTTAATCGAGAGTAGGATATATGTACAAGAACAGAAAGGATTTTGGTACCTTAAAATGTAAAAACGTGCCATTGGGATGAAGGTGCCACTCTTCACATCAGCAGCAGTGCTGTGAGGGCAAAACAGGTTCTCCAGTGTTAGTAACTGGAGAGAGCTAGACGGGAGAAACCTGTCAGGAAACTGTTCCTAAAATTCGTACTACCGGGCCATTTCTAGTGTGAGAATGGGATAGCCATTTGAGAGGGGACCGCAGAGGCTGCAGGAAAGCAGCAGGTAAAGGCACTGAGCATGGAGCTGTGGTCAGGAGTGCAGTTTGAGTTGCATGGTAGTCTCCGTGCCACACATGAGGTCTAGTGCTTGCCTAAGAACGTGCCTGAGGAGCATGGCTGGGTCACCATCAACACTTTGGCAGAAATTCCTGTTAGGTATCCTGAATTTGGGCTGCAGTTCTCTCTCTCTTCCCCACCTCCACCCCATCATAAGGCCTTAGGATAGCTCTGCATTCCCTAAAACTTTACAGATGTTTTCTTTTGTTTTCAAAGCTGTAAAGTCTTCAACACAGAGGGAGGTCCTAATTAAATGGGATGAATAGAAGAAATATGCTATGGAGAATGGTTTTGCTTCTGGATTCTTTTTCTTCATTTATCCAAAAGCAACTTAATGTCCTTACAGTCCAGCACCATGTACACAGAGCATAATGGTGTTAATCTCTCTAAATTAAGTAACAGCCTTCCCTGTATTGTAAGAGGATATAAATGTATTATATTGGGGAAAAAGAATGGTCTTGTGGCCAAGGAATTGCAATTTAATTTTGAGGAACGGAACTCATTTCCATCTCTGGCTGAGACAGGATGCTCAGACTCTCCATGCTTTGATTTCCATCTTTGCATCTCTCTTTCTCTATTTAGATTCAAGGTTTTCAGGACAGCAATTACTTCTTACTACAAGTATGTACAATATTTAGTGCGGCAGGGCTTTAATATCAATAAAGGACTCCAGGTGCTAGTTTAAAACAAATAATATTTTCTCACCTGAAATACAGGTATATGTATTAGCATTATAATGGTTTATTGATGCTAAATTAAATGATTAAGAATTTTCTTGTACATGTGATAAATTTACTGCATTTACGTCATTATCAGGAAAAACTAAAGAGAGTGAAGAAAGTGTATTTTTGAAAGTGTTTTTCCTACACACTGAAGCAAGTTTAGACTGCAAGGCCTACAGCTTCTGATGGTACAGGTCACCAGGATGAAAATCAAAATCCTGTTTTATTGTAGGTATTTGGAAAAGTGGCCATGAGGGACAACAATCAAATAAACAGAAACAACAATTTTCAGACTTTCCCCCAAGCTGTGCTGCTTCTCTTCAGGTGAGTAAACCTTAACTCTTACTTAATGCATCCCATTTCATTGCTCTATGAAAAATGTCTGCAGCTGTTGTACCATGGATTTGTTCAAAATGTGTTTGCAAGTGAGAAGCAATTTAGCATAACAAGCACATATTCTCTATGGCTGTATGCTGAGTGTGCATTGGCACAGCAGGGTTCTAATCAAGCGATACAGACATAAACTCATTACAGCTATTGTGAAACATCTCATTTATGGAGTAATTCTCTTCAGGTAGAGCCCAAACATAGTCAGCCCCGATATTACTGTGTAGGTGTTGGGAAAGGTGAATGTTGTGGTTTAACCCCAGATGGCAACCAAGCACCACACAGGTGCACACTCACCCTTCCCCCCACAGTGGGTAAAAGTGAGAAAACTTGTGGGTTGAGGTAAGAATAGTTTAATAATTGAAATATAATAATAATAATAATATTGTAGTGAAAAGGAAAACAGCAACAACAAAAAAAGGAACAAAACCCAGGAAAAAGTGATGCAACTGCTCACCACCCGCTGACTGACGCCCAGCCTGTCCCAGAGCAGCGATTGCTGCCCCCCGGCCAACTCCCCCCAGTTTCTATACTGAGCATGATGTCATATGGTATGGAATAGCCCTTTGGCTAGTTTGGGTCATCTGTCCTGGCTGTGCTGCCTCCCAGCTTCTTGTGCACCTGGCAGAGCATGGGAAGCTGAAAAGTCCTTGACTGTAGTCCAAACACTACTTAGCAACAACTAAAAGATCAGTGTGTTATCAACATTCTTCTCATACTGAATCGAAAAGACAGCACTATGCCTGCTACTAGGAAGAAAATGAACTCTATCCCAGCCACAACCAGGACAGTGAAAAAGACTGTGCCTTTAGTGTATTCTTTAGAAGCACAGCTAGCATGACAGTTTGAAAAAATGAAAGGTTATTGCAAACATAAAGAAATAAACTCTTCTTTACATTTGCTGAAGAGATGACAAGAAATAGAGCGTGTAACTTGTAGAAGGGAAATATCAGATAAGCAGTAGGCAAAACTTCCTGATGGCAAAGGTAGCTAAATCTTGATGTAGGGGGATTATGGAATCTCCATCACTAGAGAGATTAAGAAGAGGGTCAACATTTGCCAGGAGTGCTTCAAAATGTCGTGGAGCAAGGAGAGGGAATGACATGGAACAGGGATGCCTCTAAAGGTGACAACCTTGAGAGCTCTCTTGCCTGTGATTCTGTAACTCCACTTGGCTCCTATGCATTGTTACTCACCTGGTTGGCAAAACTGGTGGGTCATTCCTTATCGAAGGGCATCACCCAATGAGATCTAAGTGACTTTATGCATGCAAAGACTTTTGCCTTTGAAACTAGCTAATGAACACAGCCAAAAATGTCATAAGTATTTAGTTGTCTTTTAAATATTTGAAATCATGGGTCTGTACACAGGCATTACCCAACTATGCAGAAAATGCAATAGCAGAAGTTAGACACAAGCATTTCTTCAACCAAGCTGAGGAAAAGGTGATTCATCTCTTACAAAGAGATACTTTCAACTTTTATGACAGGCTTTTGTACACAACACTGCTTTTGTAAACAGCAGCTCCACTGCAATAAGTATTTAACTTGTAAATCACAGTTTGATGTTCAGATTTTTACGTGTAAGCCTTTATGGTGCATTAGTCTACCTTATAAAATGTGCCTGCAATGTCAGATCTATGCTTATCATTTCTGAAACATGCTCTGTATTTTTTTTAATTAGTTCCTGCTCTGAAAATTTCATGACCAGTCTTCACATTTGTGCTTGTACAGCTCCAAGCATTTTGTCAGAACTTAACAAATTAATACATGTTTAATCCATTTTGATCAAATAATGCCTAATTTATCTTTGTGACCTTATAAAGGTGTGCAACTGGAGAAGCCTGGCAGGAAATCATGCTGGCATGTTTGCCTGGAAAACGCTGTGATCCAGAATCTGATTATAATCCAGGGGAAGAATACACATGTGGAAGCAATTTTGCCATCATTTATTTTATCAGTTTTTACATGCTTTGTGCATTTTTGGTGAGTCTAGCTTCTGCTTATTAACAGAAATGAGCTTTGGCATTTTGACTTTTTTCTGAACTAAAAGAGTTAGTGGGTTCAGACAATGATTGAAAATCCCATATCTAAAATATTTTGCAAGGTTATATTTTTCCATACACAGCCCTAAATCCTGTATCTTACACTGATTTTTACAGTGAGGGTGGTGAAACACTGGAACAGGCTGCCCAGAGAGGCTGTAGGTTCCCCATCTCTGGAAACACTCAAGGTCAAGTTGGACGGGGCTCTGAGCAACCTGATCTAGTTGAAGATGTCCCTGCTCATTTCAGGGGGGTTGGGCTAGATGACCTTTAGAGGTTCCTTCCAACCCAAACTATTCTATGATTCTAAATTCCCATGTGCAAGAAGTTCTTCTGACTACATGTATGCAGGAGTGGTTGGTTGCACATTTGAAAGCTAAATTAACAGTCTTTTCATCAGCCTTTATTTCATGCATTTCTCAATAGTATCATTAAATATGCATAATAATAAAGCTGCAATTCCTTTGACTTACTAGTAAGGCTATTAGTATTATTTAAACTTAGCAGAATTTGGATTCATGTCTCTACAAGTGTGTGCAAACGGTGACACATGAGATGTGAACAATAACCTGTCTCCCTAATCCATGGCATAAAGGATTATTTGCCCTAAAATAATCTTTGAAATACGTTTTTCCTCCTTGCAGGTGTCTAGTCTAAGCTGGTTGACTTGTTCTGTTTGCAGTACTGTTCTCCTTGCAAAAGGAGAATGGTCAAACAGAATTCTGTGAACTAATGTAAACATGCACATTCTGCTGTTCTGTATCATCTTCTGTGTTAACGAAACGTATGCAGAAGTCTTATTGTCATGATATTGAATCCTATTAGTACAAAAGCTGTTTCCCGAGATCTGCGCTGTGTGAAATACATTGTATTGGATACATTCTTTAATTTGATGTAGTGGGATCTGGCAAATCAAGGAAGAGAAACAAAAACGTGTTACAGCCGATGCCAAAGACTAAGTACTCTAAGATAGAATCACATTCTTGTCGTATCATTACTTGATAGAGTTCCAGTTAGTCAGTTAAATGGTGAGCAAGTATTTTCTGTGATATTCAGTGATATTTGCCAAAAATTATTTTATGAGATCAATTCATTTGTTTGAATTCTTAACATGCTACCATATAAAATTATTTTATTTATTGAATATTTTTTGTAAATTTTCAAAATAATTAAGGCAGATTGTTCTTAATTACTTTTTTAGATTATAAACTTATTTGTGGCTGTCATTATGGATAATTTTGATTACTTGACACGTGACTGGTCTATTCTGGGTCCCCATCACTTGGATGAGTTCAAAAGGATATGGTCAGAATATGACCCTGAAGCAAAGTAAGTTAGATCATTTCTCTGATAAGATTTATCTGGTAAAAACAGTAAAAGCAGAGCGTAGTATATTCTTTGGGAATGGATGTATGTTTGGTAACGGATGTGTATTGGTTCTAGGGGAAGGATAAAGCATCTTGATGTGGTTACATTACTGAGACGCATTCAGCCCCCACTTGGTTTTGGCAAATTATGCCCTCACCGAGTGGCCTGCAAGGTAGGTTTTACCCTATTTTCTTTCTAGGTTTGTCTCACAGTTCATTCATTCAATACTGCACAATATGTGTCACGTATGTACAGTAATCCTGTCTGTTCACTCTCAAGTTTTCCCATTTTTTTTCAAGCTTAACTTAAACCAGCAAAATTAGTGTAATTTCTTTGTGTACTCATTTGAGTAGTTACCACCAATGTAAAATTCTTCACAGAGCGTCAAAATGAAAGGGGTCGGTCTGTAAATCTATCATTAGTCTATTTTTGTCACATATATGAACTACCTCATCCCAGCATTTCTGATGAGCCAGTGTCACAAATTCAGTCCCAGGGAGAAGAGGGTGGTAGTTTACTTTAATTGACCATTAAAATTTGATATAGTACTCACAGTCACATTTATGGGAAGTTTGCTGCACATGAAACACAGAAAGGAGATTGAAGGGTGGGGACTGCAAGATGATAAACCAAGCTGAAGTGAATAACGGTGTGCAATATAATGTGTAGTAGTGAGTGAGAAGACTGAAAATTAAAGGGAATTTAAAATGACGTAGAACTTGTCATGCACGATGTGTCATTTAGATGAGTATTAATTGCGTTTTAATATAAATGTTGAAGAGCAACACAAAGGAGATGAATAATTATTACATTATTTGAGGACTTCAGAACTATGGATATTGTGGTTTTAGCAATTTCAGTAGGAATAAGGTCAAGCCTTTTAATTAAAGGATTGTTACAACAGCACTGTCATTTGGATTTCTTTTATATCTGTTTTACAAATAGGTAAGTTGACACATAAAACACTGTGTTCAAATGGAACGCCACAAGGCATACTTAAAGCAAACCTGTATCTATACGTTAAGATAAATTATCCAATTGAGTAATGCTTTTAAACTAGAATAGAGGAAAATCCAAGTCAGACATTAGGAAAAGGTTTTGATAGATCAAATACTGTTCTTCTGACAGACAGGGTCACAGCGATACTGCTCTAAAAGATGAACACTAATGCAGAGATGGACTAATCCAAAGGGGAAAGCCCCTTTCACACTAATTCAGTGTAGATAGCATAAGAGATGCACAGCTTCACTGAAGAGTTACCTGAGAAATTAATCAGCTTATAGAAGACAGCCCTGGTGCTGTGATTCTTCATGGAGCATGAGGCTGGAGGAACCCATGGGAAACCTGGAACATGACCGCAACTGGAGTGCATGCTTTTAAATAACTGGATTTGTCCTTAATACTTGCATAGTGTGACTTACAGTCATAGCCAAGGACTGGGCTTCAATGTTGCAAATTAACTCAAGAAATAGCTTGTGAAAACTACTGGGCAGTTTTAGCTTTTCTATAAGCATGCATGGGATTAATATCAGAAAGAAGCAATATTGGGTGGTTATTATACGCAGCTAGGATGGAAGAGTCAACTTTTTTTAAAGACTTATGTAATTTTTATGCCTCTCAGTAGATATTCTTTGAATACATCAGCTTTTCAGAAATGAACATTACAGGAGGTTTTTTTTCACACAAAGCCGCATCAAAATTTGTTTTCCTTTTCTCATTTACAGAGGTTAGTAGCCATGAATATGCCACTAAACAGTGATGGAACCGTCATGTTCAATGCTACTTTGTTTGCTTTGGTTAGGACTGCTCTAAAGATAAAAACAGAAGGTAAGGTTCTTAGCTGTAAAGCCTTTCCTGCACTTGTCAGAAGGTACAATGAGGAAAAGTTACAATTTACCATATTCATTTTGTTGGACATGAGTAAGGCTGCCTTAGTCTCACTGGATTTGCTTTGCTTTTGGGTTGTATTCACTGTTGCTAGGAATGATTTGCTAGTAAATGAAAGGAAAGGGATATTGAGGCCAGAGCCTAAGAAATCTTAGAAATTATTATATGCTTTTATCTGGTCAGATAAAAACATGTAGCAGTGGCATAACAGGAGTTCTACTGCAAGGAATGAATGAGTTCCCCTTTCTGTCCAACCAAGATGCTCCTTCCTCACTACTGTTTAACTTGGTGCCTTGGATCCCACATTGGTGCAACTGCAACTTTTGCACACTTGAAAGCAACATCCCCAATTTGGTCGAGGCCAGTTCTGACTGGGTTGAATGGATTTCTGTCATTTGCATCAGAGGGAAAAGTTTTTAAAAATAGTGGTATGTTTCAAAGAATTTTCTTTCTATTTTCATACTTTTTTTTCATTATTTTACCATGTTTTACTACTTTCTGTTCCATGTCTTCTGCTATTCTTAGCAGAATTTGAGTTCCACTGCCAATAACAAACTGATTAGATTAAGCCCCTTCAGGCATTGCTGTGGTTTAGGTGGGCACTGCAGGTGGTGAAAAACTGCTCAGTAGTCAGTTGCCTGAACTTTCAAGCCTGTACAGCTGAGTAATTACTATGATTAAACAAATAAAGGCTCAGCTTTGGATCAAGAAAGAAGTGGCTTGTGAAGAGCAAGTCATCACTTTCCGCACAATTTAAGCGGAAGGTTTTAAGCAGTGACAGAGTAGAGCCAAGATCTGTAAATTATGGTTGACCTCTGCAGTACTCCAGAGACTGATTTGAAAGCCCCAGGAGCTCGCTGTCTTACACCCTTTCTTCTCTTTAGCTGTAGTATTGTTATCTGCTACTTCTTGTAGCTTAGGCTTGCTGCAAAGCATCCTTATCATAGTCTTTATTTGTATACAGCTAATTAATATCCAAAGGATCATTCATTGCAGCTGGTTGAAACATAATTGCCATCCTCCATTTTTCTATTTCATTGCCACAGGTAACCTAGAGCAAGCAAATGAAGAACTTAGAGCAGTTATAAAGAAAATATGGAAGAAAACGAGCATGAAATTACTTGACCAAGTTGTCCCTCCAGCTGGCGGTCAGTCTGATAAACTTTGCAATATGCTATTCTCTTTGCATTTTGGTCTTTCTAGATTGTTAGGAATCAAAGAAATAAAATTACTATATTTTGCAAATTACAGTGTCGTTAAAGGACAAAACCAATAACAAAATAAATATAGAGAAAATTGTATCCTGTTATACTAGGTCATACATATAGGACTGATAAGTACAACTTCATTAGATCAAAAAGAAACAGAGGAAAATCTTATTCTTATTTTCTTGCTTGGAAAAAATACCTTATTAGACCTAAATCTAGTCTTGATTTCAAGTCATTCAGCAGAATAAACTAAACTTAGTTTGATTTCAATGCATTGAGCAAAATAACATGTTTTGTGCTAATTAAGCTTGACAATGTACACTACATTATAGCTTATATCCTTGTATATGTTGAATACTTCTAGGAGAAAACTGAAAAATTTTAATTTCCAGCTTAAAAATAATTTTGTTGCTAAACTGATAAAGCAGAAGGCTAAATTATCTCAGTTACACTAGTTTAAACCAGAGCAGTTCCATAGTCAACAGATAATGGAAATGTTTCAGATTTATGCCAGTATGACTGAGATATGAATATGGCCCACGTAAAGAGACATCTAAATTCTAATGACACCAATACATTTGCGAGAACTACGAGGCACGTATATTAGGTCTTCCTACGTGCTGTAAAAGGACATGTCAAATATTTGTTATATCTCTCTCTTTAAATATATATATATTCTAATATATATATTTAGCCTTTTTCAATATATACATTTTTATT